TGCAAAGCACTTCAGTGCCTCTATCTTGTATTTGTAGCAGTTCCATTTATATTGTAACTTCTGCTGTTTCTATTTAGTTCTTGCACAAACTGTCAAAAATATTTAGGTTTCTCAACTTAACAGATGCTTGGCTGGCCTCAGAAAATATCAAGAACAAAACATTTTTTGAATAGCAGTATGGAACTCATTTTCTTATCAAAAGTAGAAGCATTAGGCCCAGAGTGTATCCTGACAGGTATATATTAGGCATTATAAACAAGGGTTTAAGGACCTCTTGGCCCTTTGGAGAAAGACAGTACTCTTATTGTGCTGGCAAAACTGCTTTTGGTTTCCTCCCATTAAACCTAAGTGCCAGTGGAGATCTGAACAGAGTTGAAATCACTTTTCACAGTACTCTCTTTAAAAGAACAGTGTACACCTGTAAGAATAAATTTTGTTACCTCAGAAGACACACACACACACACACACACACACACACACAAAACCAAAATCCAAACAACGCCCCCAAATCCTCTATTTCTTCATTACATGAAGGAATTGGGCATAATTTTCTCTTTTTGGTCAGATATAAATGTTTCTATTTACTTTAAATATTCTCTATATTTTTTGCAGACAATTTTACCATTTTCAAGGGGGGAAGGTCAAAAAACCCCTACTAATTTCCTCTAAGTTGAACAGCAGTTTCATGGAGAAATTTTCACTTAATTTCTATGATCAGATTGTGTTAAGTAGAAACAGACAGGTTTAAACATTTCCACATGTTATAAAGGCCCAAAACTTTCCCTGAAAGCAATACTACTCTGAACTCTGACATTACAGGCTACTTCCTGTAATGAATGTGGCTCCACCCAGATTTTACCAACTCCCCAGCTTTGTAAATCACACATACACACATGAAAGAGAGCTGCCCCTCAGCACATCCCACCCCCTGGGAGCACTCTACCCGTGCCATAGTCCTGAACTTCAACCAGCTACCATATTTTTCCCAGTCATTCACACTTGCTTTCCTTCTTTGTTTATGGTAATGAACTAGGTAAATATAGAGGAGGAAGGCAGAGCTGACAAAATTCTAGTAATTGGTTCTTGTGTTAGAGGCACCCTAACCTGGTGGGATCTATAAGTGTTTCATAACTCACCCCTTGTCAATACGACATTTTGGTGACTATAACCATCCCCTCTTCATTTTATGCTCCAGAAGCTCGTGAGAACTCAATGAGTCATGAAGAATCTTAAATTCAAATCCAAAGAATCCAAAGTGATGATAACAAAAAAGAATAATTGATATTTGAACAAAGGTTAGTATTTGACAATGGATAAAGATTGGTATACCTTCCCTTCCTCGGGGCTTTGTTGACATGAATTGTGAACGTCGTCTTCTCTTACTAATTTTCCAGGCCAGGAAGTCAGTCCTTTGATTTGGCCCCAGACCAAGTCGCCAACGTTGAACGTCCTTGGTCTATAATGTATCAATTCATGTGAAGAGGGGGAGTCTGGATTCCTTAGGTCATCTTCACTACTAATGCTTTTAGCGTCTGAGGGGCTAGGCACACACCCGTTAATGCTTTTGGCATTAAAGTCTCCATTGTAATGGATGTAGTCTTTGACCAGAGAGCTTTCCAAACTATTGGAGGAACTTGGAGACTGCTCCTCTAGGACTAGGTCTTGTTTTGCAGTACTTAGCAGCTCTCCAAATCCCCGACTCGACTGTCGAGGTCTATTTCCATTTATGTGTGCACATCTTTCCACGGTGTTCTCTAGTCTCTCCTTAAAACTCATCATAGTTCTTTTGTAGTTATTATACCTGAAATTTTCCTCCAGAATTTTATCCCCTTGACAGTTCCTTGGTGGTAACAGTATTGGGTGCTGTTCCCCGGACAGAAATGGCAGTGTAGAGACATTGTTGGGCCTTTCATGACAAGGACTACTGTGGATATGGCCTGGATGATCTACAAATTCCTCATATTTCCACCTGTTTAGCTCCCCTCTGGGACTTTGCTCCCCATCCCATTGTTTTTTGGCTGTGTGGCAACTTGCTGACTTGAAGTACTCAAACCCATCTCCTTCATTTGAGTTTTTCCTGTGGTCTAGGTTCTTCGGCAGCCGAGCTCCTCTTGCATTCCTCAGCCTGCCGTCGTGATCCATTCCTCCCATGTTCTGCCCATGAATGACTGCACTGACAGCACTGGACAGATTTAATGGGTCACCAATAGAGGCAGTGAAGGCACTCATGGCACTCAGAGCTGGAATAGGGCTGATCTGAGTCGTACTGTTGACAGCCGTGGTGATGACAACCTGCATCCCTTTGCTGGCTGCATCCACAACTGCTTTGTAAATGGCATCTACGGAGGTGTCACCTGGGCCACCCATAACCAGGCCATCCTTCACCTGCTGACCAAGAGATGGGTCAATCCTCGGCTGCAACTCACAAGGTGGATCTTGGAAAGGTGGGAGTGCAGTGTTGGGGTTCTCAGGAAGTGCTGTGAGACCTGGCTGAGTGCTTATTCTCTTATTTAGAAGAGCTGCATCTTCTTGCATTCTCACCTTAAATAAATAGGAGAGAGAGAGAGAGAGAGAGAGAGAGATTAAAGACTCAAAGAAAAATATGTTAATTTTAATATTTACCAAAAGACAAACAACTAACAAGGAAGAAAGTAAAAAGAACAGGAATAAAAAAATGAGAAAGGAAGTCACTGTGTACAGAAAACCTTACATAGTGATTACATATATTTGGGTAATTTCTCTGGCTGAAACCATTCAACAGACCAGTTTTTTGTACTTAGCATTGCCAAACAGTCTCTAGAAGCATTAAACTTGAGGTAGTTTGTACACGAGAGATTTCTAAGCAGTGATACCGCATACTTAGTCAAAGGTCTTTGAAAAGCGATTTCGGTTACAGATAGCCAAAGAACCAGGATTTGGAAATGATTTCTAACTCACTGATGTTTACACTAAACTAAGTGAAATAGAAGATAAATAAAAAATAAGTTCCTTTCCAGAGCCAGGGGCTCCTCCCAAGCCCATCTGACCCCTGAGAAACAGATCCTCAAATGACCTTAAGAGTGAAAATAAATTGGTTTATTTGGGCCAACTGTATGGTCTTAAACACCCAAAAGGAAAGTATAACCAAAGAGTAAAGTCATCAGTATACTTCTTTAAGAGTTCAAGGGATTACACTTCCCAGACATAAGGCTTAAGTCCATATAAAATGTTATTTAGACAATTATTTCTCATTGATGATTTTGTTTCTAAGAAGAAAGTGTTGCTCAGACTTCAAATCTTGGTCTGCAATACTGTAGTGCCCACCTGTAGCTAAGGGAGGCAACCGCTATTGTTCTAAAATGATGGATCAATTTGTTTTCTCCCCCCATCTAGAAGCCTTTGAGAGGGAACTGGCACTGATTCTAACCACTCCAACAGCTATCAAAATGTCAAGGTGCCTGAAAGCAAATCCTGAATCCATCATTCTAGAGTCCAGCCTTGCCAGACAAAAGAAAAATGAGGAGGAACCCAATGGAGGGATGCTTTTGGAAGCTCTCATCAAGAAATTCCAAAGGACTGTGATATGAACATTTGAAATTTGCTGTTTCAATTTTTCAATGGTGCCCTGTCTAGAACTTGTAATGCTAACTACTTTTGCTTTTACTTCTCCTTCACATCTCCTAGTCATCAGTTAAGGACTTTCTTTTCTCCTTACAGATAAGAGTTATGCAATTTGGGATAGACCCACTGAAGGGGTGCCCCAATTGTCTCACTCTGCATCCCTGTTCAGCATGGAAGAAGCCAGAGCAGTCTGCATCCTTATTCCCTATCGGCAACTTGGGTAACCTCTTTGGGGGATGGTGTGATAAGAATAGGAGGAAGGAATTGGCAAGGCAGTTAGGGTAAAAAGGCCCCAAAGAAAAGTAGCCAGTTTCTTGGCTAAAAATCAAAAGGTCCTTGGGCCTCTTAGCAACATATTTTGTTCCAAAGGCCAAAAATGTCAAAAGTATTTGGGAGCTCTTATCTAATCCCTAAAGATTTTAGGGATACCTCTTGGGAGGGGGGAGATGTTAGAGCATCAAAAAGCTCCATTAAAAAAAAAGAAAGAGTACATGAAGTTGTTCAGGAAAAAGTGATGGAAGTGGTGGAGGCAAGGGAGTGGGCATGGATTTGATCAAAACATCTTATATACATGTATATAATTCTCAGTAAATTTTTTTAAAAGTTAAAAAAATTGCAGGTCAGCAAGGGCTACCTAGTGAGATCCTGTCTCAAATATAAAGATAGAAAGATAGACAGACAGACAGATGTTCTGGAACACTGGAAGTAAACCAAGTTGTATAGCACCATTGTGATCTCCTCACAGACATGGTAAGAAAGTTTCTTTCATGACATCTATGAGAGAGTGGAAAATTATAGGCCTGAGATCCAGAACAGAAAACTAGCTGAAGGCATGAAAGACTCTATACTGGTGTTAATTAACAACTTGACAGAATCACCCGAGAGATGGACCTCTGTGCATGTCTGTCAGGGATTATCTTGATTTCATTAACTGAGGTGGGAGACCCATCCACTGAAGGTGGCGCTGTTTCTTGGATGGGGTCCTGGACTCTATAAGAGGGGGTAAGGCTCTTCATGCATTTGTTGTTCTCTGCTTCCTGAATACGTATGCAATGTGACCAAGTGCTTCAAGCTCCTGCTGCCTTGACTTCCCTGTCATGATAGATTACACCCTTGAACTGTGAGGTAGAATAAACTTTTATACCTTGAAAAAAAAAAGTTCCTTTCCTAACAATACAATGTTTTGATATGACATAAGTATTTAATTGTATTTCTTATTGTGTACATGCATGATGTGTGTGGGTGCATGCACTATGCATATATGTGGAGGTCATGGGGCAATTTTGGGAGTTGGTTCTTTCCTCCCACCTTTATGTGGGTTCTGTGGATTGAATTCAGGTTGCCAGGCTCTGCGGCAAGTGCCTTTATCTGCTAAACCACCTCGCTGGTGCTACACAATGTTTTGAAGACTTCAAATGGAATAGTGATCTCTGTTCATCCTTATCAGGCTACTGGCTGAAGGCCATTTCCACACTGCCAAAAGAGGACAATGGCAGCTACAGAGTGACTATTCTCAGGAAGATGGAAGGGAGGGAATACTTCCCTTTAGAATTTCAGCACAGGAAGCATGACTGCAGTTTGAAAAAAAATCCCTCAGGTTTTTCTAATTTCATTAATACCATCTAAGAACTGCTGCTTTGTGATACTTCGGATCCCTCTGTCCTGCAATGATAATTCCTGGGTTCCTCTGCCCCCAGTCATCACTCTCTTCTAGTCTCTATGTCTCTATATACTTCCTCACTTGACCAGAACCTGGGAGCCAACAGCATACCAACTACTCCTTTGCTATTATTCCCTTGTCTACACTTGTCAGATAAAAATCTCAGTCTTGGATCATTTTAACTGACTGTCTCGTCTCTATCCACAGGAAGGCGCCAAGTATTTTATGACTAGGAATTTGTGGTTCCAACCTGTACTAGCGCCTGCTGCTATTCTTCACTCCTGTGATCTTCTATTCAGGTATCATTTTATCCACAACTACTCAACTCTTCCTCTATTTCAAGCTATTGCCATACCAGCTCCCATCCTCTTCTTGGTAGATGGCCCTACTTAACAGAGAAAATGGAGCTGATGGTAAGAATTCTCAGTCTTTTGCTGATATTTTATGCTCCCCAATAGAATTCTCCCCATTTCTCAGCAATTATGCCTGTCCTGTTTCCCCTCTGCTCTCTGCAGGTAAGCTCTCATCTAGGCTGAGAAGAAGGAGTACAAAGTCAAGGCTAACCTGGACTATACAGTAAGACCTGGATTAAAAAAATAATATATATTTTGAAAGTCTGTTATCTTCTTATATTAATCTACTGTTGTTCTTTCTATATACATCTTTAGACTATTATGCATTCATTTCTTTGTAGAAATAGAAGACTGTGTAGCCTAAGCCAGGAAAATAGGATTACTAAGGTTGAGGGAAGTAGGTATTAATCCAAAGAGAAATGTGAAGTACAAAAGGGTTTATAAGGGCAAAATTATCAATTTTTACTCACAACTCCCAAATGACTATTGCTTCAGGCAAAATAAAATCACCTTTATACAAACCTTTGGAATGCCTGATGATCCTCGGCATGAAGAGATGACAGTAAATAAACTGGAAGTGCACATTACCTACTTTTTTACCTCCTCCCCCCCAAATTAAATATTTCAATAAACCCAGACATTGTTTTCAACTGAAGTGACCTATGGAAGGAAAGTACCTGAAAGTTCTGAAACAGACAAGCCATGGGAGTAGGGTTAGCTGGGCAAGGAATGGTGGCGTGTCCTTGAAAGGCCTGGAGACTCTGGTGTCCCTGGAGAAGGTGCTGCTGTTGCTGATTTGGAGGGAACATCTGATTGTTGTTTAACAGCGACTGTAGATGAGTCAGTTGATGATTATTCAAAGAATTGTTTATTGATGACATATCACCTACAGTTTTAAAAAACATAAAGTATAAGTCAATGTAATTCTTCAGAGATGCTAAGGCTATCTTTGTACCTGAGAATTCGTCAAACAAAAACTAAAAGCTGAACTTACATGGGCAATTTGTTCATTTTTTTCAGTCTTATATAGTCTTATTATTGTATTATCTTGCATAATCAGCTTTTTACTTTAAATCATGTAAAGACTATTTAGTCTTTAATGTTGAGCTTTAGAGTTAAATGATTCCCCTATTTATTAGAACACCTACAGTTAAAGGCTGAAAACTTTCCTTAGCAACCATAAGTAATTAACCAGATGAATATAATGAGTGGGTATGATCTAGTCTCATTTACAAAATTTCAATCTTAAGCAACAGTCAGGAATAAACATTACCAAATAAAATTAAAAATATTCATTTTGCTTTGGAGTAAAATGTTGTCACCTAAAATTAAAATTATAAAGAAAGCCAATAATACAAAAGAATTCAATGCTATAGTTATTATAAACACTAATTTAATTCATGACATCAATGGATATCATTAATAACTAAGTTTATATTTAAAATTCAAACTTGTTTGAAATTGTTGAAATTATTTTGTGAACAATGTCATATAAATTGGTTTGTAACCTGTACCATATAAATCTATAATGTTTTTTAGGTTATTTAACAACAATGATTTTAAGAGCAGATAAAACTATGCTGGAAATTTCCATAAAATACAGAAATCTGAACAATTAATTTCATAACACCGCCCTTGACATCATCATGTACACTCATCTGTATTCTTGGCTTTACGGACTCTTTCTGCACTTCGTGTCATGGTTACCTGTGCCCGTCATTAAATATACTTGACATCATGCTTTAACTTCTGAAGGATAATCTACACTAAGGACTTATCTAGCATCGTCTCGAGGGACTGTTTCCCTGATCTTGGGCACACCGTAGCTCTGAATGGTTTGATGCCTGCTTTATGGACAAGTATTTAGTTTTGCTTATTAGGGTTCACCTGGAAAACACCTCCTCAAACTGTTCCCATCCACAGTGCAGCTGCTCATACCAACCCTGTGATGCCACACCAACTACAATTGAAATAAAAGTTCTTTTAGAGATGTGCCTTGCTCTATTATTTAAAAAGTAAGACTCTACTTGGCTTAAGAGAATGATAGGTAGGTTAGGTTTAGGCGGCATCAGAGTTAGAAGATAAGAGAAAGAGTTAAAGCAATATTTAGTAACGCTAGGGTACGGGAAAAGGAAAAGGTCATTTTCATATTTGCAAAGCGATAGTTTTGTGTGGGTGTTGTTATATTTAGTTCCTTAAACAAGCTGTGACATAAAACATTTTTAAAAATAGGTGACAAAATGGAGTTTTTAAAAAGGATAAAATAGAATTAGAAAAACTTTTCTTTAAAAAAAAATTTGTGAAGAATTTTAACTTACCAAGCAGACCTGTCCCCAGTAGAGGGTTAAGTAGCTGTGGCACCACAGAGTTACTGTTGAGTTTAGCTGGACCAGGTGTATTCCCAGCATTATTAGATATATTCAGCAATGTTTCTGCCATTGACACCACTGCTGTCCCACCAAGTGTTGAGACAGTCAGTGCTGCCACTGCTGATGATGTAGTGGTTGTGGTAGTGGTTGCCTGGGAGGAGGTTGCTATGGAAACCTCTGGATGATTAGCTGTGTTGGCCGATGCCGAGTTCAGGACACCTCCTACCAGCTGGGGATTCAAGGCCATTAATCCTGAGGCCCCAGTGACAGCTGGGAGGAACAGGGGGTTAAAAGTAGTGTCACTGCCTGTAAAGCTCGGTAAAGGGTTCCCCAGGGGGCTGGTTAAAAGGGTCTCAGCTCGGCTGTTGTCTGACTGATTGCTTGGCAAATGGTCTGGTGGGGCTGTCATCTGTGTTAATGAGGGTAAAGGGGTATTTTGCTGTTGCAAAAGATCTGAGATGGTCAGATTGAGAGACGGCAGGGGAAGCATGGCAGCTGCTTGGGCTTGGTTCTGAAGGAGGGCTGCTAACAGCTGAAAGTGAACAGGCTGTAATACCTGCCCATCCATGTCACCGGAGAGAAAAGCTAAAGCAGCGTTTATATTTGGGTTGAGAAAACCTAAAGGGTGGAGGTTGATCTCAGACTTGCCTTCTCCTGCTGAAGGCTGGAGGATATTTAATAGATTCTGGTTTAGGAGATGCTGTTGATTCACTGGCAAAGAGATAGGCAGAGAACTGAGGAGGCTGGGGTTCAAGGGGTGTGGAAGATGGCTGTTTGAAGTGCTGTTGGATGGAAAATGAAGTGCATGCTCCTGGCCAACAAAAGGAAAATCGCTCCCAATGGGCAGCTGACTCGGCAGTGGGTTTCCAGCTGCGGTGGTGACTATGACGCCATCTTGGAGGACAGATGTTGTCTTTGTGATAGCAGGATGGTTGCTGCCAGCTATAGCTATAGAGGACGATAGGCTCGAACTGCCTAAAATGAGAAAAAAGAAACCCAGTTATTAATTATGGAGCGTAAACAAGACCACCCATAAAATTTCTTAGGGTACATTTGCTTGTTATGGTGGCACCTTCATTGTGTCTTCACTGTAAGTCTTGCAGATGATTTGACATCTGTTAATGGAACTTAACCTACTTTGAAATTGCTGAATACCCAATAGCTTGCTTTTCACAGCTGTGCAAAGTGAAGATAGGCAAGGCTTTTATACTTCATTCATTCAACCGGGTAGATTAAAAAAAAGCTCTATTTCTCAAAATATACTTTCATTAAAAAAGCCTTTTGGTCTTATGACTAGTACTTCCTTTTAGTGAACCACAAAACTTTTCTTAAAACTAGAATGTGCATGAAGACATAAAGCAGATAATAAAAAGCACCTAGGGCAGTAACACACATTAAACTCTTGTCACTAGTTTTCTGGGTAACCCTACCTGTGTCCATGTGCACATTCATACATGTACTTTTAAAGAAAGCTAGAATTGTGGTCTAATTTTGTAACTTTTCATTTATCAATTATTGTGAAAACCTTTGCATGTGAACTCATACAATTACAGAATCACTTTACTAGTTTCATGCATTAATATATAATATTTAATCACTTCATAATCATGAATGTTTGTTTTCATTCTTTTACTATTACAGGCAACACTTCAATGTATCTTTTCTATTCTGCCCAATTATTTTCTAAGGAAAAATTATTTAACATAAAATTCCAGGGATGCAAAGTTTTACATATTTTAGACATATATCATCAAACCACCCTCAAATGAAGTTGACCAATATGCATTCAATTTACACTCCTCTAAACAGTGTGTAACTGGGCTTATCTCACCAACATTCTCATTATTTTTAAGTGAAAAAAATGATTAATAATTTTTGTAATTCTGATAGTATAAAAATACACTGCACTTAAAAATGCCTTAAGTTATATCAGTCTTCCCTCCCCTGTAGCACCCTTCTCCTTAGAAGTCTATACTAAAGATAAAAATTCAGGGAATTTAGTATTTAAAGATGAAATTTCAGTTATTATATAATTGAATTAGTGGTTTTCAGTCCAAGCTACACAATATAATTACTTGGAGAAATGAAATACAAAACAAAGAAGAAAACTAAAACCAGTACTTGTACCCTAACCCCGGCCAGCTAAAAATTCATCTATTGGGGAACAGCTTGGACAACAGTAGCCTTTAAAATAACCCTGTGATCCAGATGCTCACAGGGTGAGTGGGGTAGGAAAGGTAAAAACCACTGAAAAGAACTATGAACAGAATACATAGTCTTTTTTTTTTTGAGACAGGGTCTCACTATGTGTTCCTGGATGTCTTGGAAATCACTATGTATACCAGACTGACCTAATGAATAATGCCAGTGTCCAAAAATATAAATAATCAAAACCTGTTACTGTTTGTTACTGTTGTACTGGGCCATCAGAGTAACCTCATTCAACATCTTAGCATTTACTCTTTTCCAAACACACAGGAAATGTTCCATAATTGTAATAGAGATAGCAATATGAGTTTTTCTTGTTTTCATGGAGTGGAATAATGCAATGCTTTTTTCTTTTTCTTATACTTTGTAATTGTTTTAAAACTATGTAGCATATGAAATAGCCATATTTATCAAGTCATGCTGATAAAACTTAGCTTTTATATTTTGACTTTCCATCATTGTTTATAACACAGGGGTGAACATCTTATACACTTTGCTACAGGTTTTGTGTGTGTGTGTGTGTGTGTGTGTGTGTGTGTGTGTGTGATGGTGTATTAGAAGTAGGGCCTGAAATTTGCTAGGCAAGCACTATAATACATATGGTACCACTGGCTCTTCATTTTATTTTGAGACAGGGTTTCCCCAAGTTTCCCAGTCTAGCCTCAAGTTTGTGGTACTCCTGCCTCAGCTTTTTGATTGCTGGGATTACAGGCACAGAACCAACACACTCAGCTACCACTGAATTTTTCCTAAGAAGTTTTTTTCCCCCAAGACGTTCTTAGAAAAACAGCCTATAATTGGCCTAACTGTTGTGAGAATCAAAAATAAGTAAAAGAGGCTTGTCTTGTGTAAAAGTCTATGCAAATAAGGTTTCATTTAATACTATTCCTGACACTGGCGGTGGTGCTGTAGCAACGGTAGTAAGTCAAATCTGCATGCCCAACACCTACAGAACACTGCCATAGCAACGGTTTGTATTTCTCACATCTGTCATGGTCTGATATTTTTAAAACTCTGTGTTATATTTAAAGACTGAGATTAAAAATCTTCTTTGAAAATATATAAATATGTATGCACCATTATCATGAAATAATGACTATGTTCACAAAGATTAGGGCAAAAAAAGACACATGAAATGGTGAAGTAGGCATATGATATACAATTCTTTAAATATTAATTCAGATTCATTCACAAAACAATCAACACCTTAAATATTTCATTGCTTCTAAGATTTTACTGTTTTCATACATACATAGAGTGCATTATTTGCATCTGGAAGCCATGTTTTTAAATGAGCTAGTGAAAAATCTTATTTATAATAATCATTATCACTGTCAATTTTTTCTACCTGCTAAATAATGATGACATATTTAAATGTGGAGATTACCATTCTTGTGACCATACAAGAGCATATTTTCAAAATATTCAGTATGTATGTGGCGAGGCTCTGTAGATGGTTTTCCTTAGAGATTATTTTTTATTATTGCAATTTGCCACAGAGAAGCATTCATATTTCTGATTCAAGAAAGTAGCCATTTGGGGATAACATTATTTTAAAAGCTCTTCATCTACATATTCTTCAGGAATTATAATAAAAAGTGTGGTTACTGTGGGTGTGTTTTGATCCTGCCAACAAGAAAGTGGGACTAGTACAAGCTTCTTAAGATCAGTGTGTGCATCAAGGCAGATTTTTTAAATTCCCTCTAATTCTCAACAAGTCAATTCAATGGACAGGTACATTCTGTTGGAGAAAAGGATAGAAACTGTGACACAGGCTTTAAAATCTTGACATTTCCCTGGCAGGAACAGACTTTAGGCAAAGCGATACAGAAATCTTTGCACTTTTTCCAGGGAGAGAGGAGGGAGGGAGGGAGGGAAGAAAGCTACTAATGGGGTAAAAAGAAGGAGCTGAGATACAAGCTAAAGGTGTAGAAAGTCTATTCAATGAAATTACGAGAGAGCGAGAGAGAGAGAGAGAAAGTTTTAAATATCTTTTTATATAGTAGGTAGAATGATAATGCAACATACTAAGAGCTAAAACAGGCTCATATGTATATAACAGGGGACAATTATGAAACTGATGGTGCCTGGGAAAACTACATAAGTGGTATCATTTATCAGGCATTTGAGAGATGAAAAGAAGAGAAAATGTGCTTCTAAGTAGAAGCAACATGGTTTTTTAAAATACAAAAAGACAGTAAGGTGGATGAAGGATAAGAGTCATGTGCTTTACCAAAACAAAGAAATCAGACTGAAATCTTTCGCACACCCAACTCCCTCTGGCCATAGTTAAACCTGCCACTTTAGAAAGCAGTGAAGAAATGTGAAGCTCCCTTTCTAAATCATTAAAGGCAAGCACTGTTTCTTGCTTTTCTCTGTATTCCCAAGACCTAATTTAGTCTCTGGCACATTTGGCATTCAACAAGTGTTTGTTGGTTGGATGAATCTACTGAGATCCTAACATTTGCACTTAACTTTTAGAACTTAGATAACTTGATACAGACATGGAAGAAGTGAAAAATGACTTTCCAATTTATTGGTCTACTGCCAGGAGATAAGGGACACTGGAAAGGAGGTGGCTTGAAGATGACGAGTTATTTTAGAAGGCTCCCAACTCTCTCAAGATGTTAAAAATCACCTCACAGCAGGACAGGGTCTTTCATCCATTAGTGCTCAAAGAGGAATCTGAATGTCCATGAATTTTTATAGCTGCAGAGAAATTTGGAGACTGCTTATTTCTGAACACTCATCATGAACAGGCACTGTCTGGTGAGCCTATTTCACAGTTCTACATGAAGACCTTACATTCTGTTGAAGGATATCAGGAAAGTGTTTTGTCTGAGCAGTTTTTTTTCCCAGTCAAGATGCTTTGCACATAATCTAATGAAAGGGAGAGTTGAGTTTTTTTTAAGATGAAATTATTCATCAAACATTTAGCAGTTAAATAATTAAAAGGCATCTGGGATTCTGGAGAAAGTTATTAAGTTCAAGTCTTTTAATGAAAAAAGAAACACAAGATTCTTTCACATCAATCACCATGAACTAGCAATTTCTTTTCCTCATTGTGTTGCTTTCAGAGTAGGAGAGAAGACCAGAAAGCCACCCAGACTTAGGTGGTGCAAGGCCACTCGTCTAAACCTGCAGAGGTAGAGACAGTCTAGTCCAATGGGGAAATGGTAGTGCTACCTTGCTTGGTGCGTAGACATCTACATACAAACCTCATACATCAGTAAAAAATTTTAAAGGAATTTTAGAGGATATTTCATATAATTAATTTGACTCATCAGATGTTTTATTTGCTTCAGTTTGAGAACTGCTTCTGCCTCTTTAGCTTTATCTCCCTGGTCACTGACACTCTTGAGAAAAGTTCATATTGGGATAACTCGTTTGGCTGGCTCTTAAACATTAATAATACTGTTATACATTTCTTTGCATGTATTCAAAACAAAAGTCATAAAGCTCATACTAAGCAGATGGATAAAGTGTGTAAAAATCATTAACTAGTTTGATCTATTTAGTTCTAATTTTGAATATGTATTACTTTGTACTAAAGAACTTTATAAATCGATATGGCCAAATACTTAAATTTTTATCCATAAAATTCAAGATCCTAAGAAGTAAGTCTTATGAAAAGTATTCCTTCAGCATTTGACCTTTATCATTTGCTGTGCTGTGTACTTTCATTGCAAACAGGTCAGTAGTAATCTTTAATAAAAATAAATGCTTCTAGAGATAAAATATCATGGCCTAGTGAGTTTAATAAATAT